CTACTCACCAAAGTAGAATGCAGAACATTGTCTTTATAAACTGTGTTATGCCGATTGAGCTAGGTGTTCCCCGAGAGCATGGTCCCACAGCCGTCCACCCAGCAATTCAGTCCCTCAGGGGGTTTGGATGTGTCTATGGCGCTTCCATGACCTTTCCTTGTACAAGTTGTTCTGGCTTCCCCAGTATTGTGTACTGTCTTACCCTTCACCAAAGTTACCACTTATTTATTGTCTATAGAATAGATTTTTGATGGCAATATTTTATTTAGTATGGGACTATTCTAGATATGTGTTATGAGCTCTGTGGACTAGAACCTTAACTTAGGAGCTTACAGTTTAATAAATATAATGCATATTACACATACAAGTCCTTGTTGAATATGAGTCCATTGTTGGGTAAATGTATTGGAATATCTTGGATAACTGTATTGGATTATCTTCTCCCATTCCTTTTCACTCTCTTTGTCTTGCCTTTTGATGAATATAAGTTCTTAATTTTAGTGAAATTACCTTTTATTAGTGGTTTTTGTGTTCACCTTTCCCCAGTTATCTCAAAGTTGTCTTTTAACAGTTGGTCGTTTGAGTCAGGATCCATATAAGGTCCACAGATTGCCTTATGTTGTGTGTCTCTTAAGTCTCCTTTTGTTCTATAAACAACCTCCCTTTACTTCCTCCCCAACTTTTTTTTTTTTAATGCCAATGATTTGTTGCAAAAATCAGATCATTTGTCCTGTAGAATATCCGACTCTGAATTTTGCTAGTTGTTTCCTCGTGTCATTTAGCTTGTTCCCCTCTCCCAGTTCTAACTGGTAGTTAGAACTAGGGGCTTGATTAGATTCAGGTTTGTGTGTTTGTGTTTTTTAAAGGCAAAAACATTTCATAGCTGATGCGGTATTCATACTACATTTCATCTTGAGGGACATGTCTGATTGACTATAATCGCCTTTTTAAAATTTACTATTAAAATGATACCCTTGTATACACCTCTTTGTACATGTGTTTCTCTAAGGCAGAGTACTAGAGGTAGAAATGCCAGATTAAAAGGTATGTGCTTTTGAAATTT